AGACAGGATGTAGGATGCCTCAGTTGAGCATCTATCATCATAATGAAGAGGTTAAGCCTCAGATAGGTACTTGATTGGGGGCAGCCTACCTAATTTCTTTGTGAACCTAAGGAATACACATCTGGCAGCTGGAGCTTTCTAGTCTGCTAATTTTTGCCACCTGCGCTGTGGACAGACACTATGAGTGGGGGTGGAGGGTGGTAAACCACCTAATCACTCCCCATATCCAATCTGATCTCATTGGCCAGCTTAACTTTGATTCTTTCCTAGTGCTGATCTTAAAGTCTATGTAAAGACAAAACTTTGTAATTCCTGTCCGTGTCCCCGCTGAGAGGATTCACCCTTACTATATGTCCTGATGACCACTATTACTAGGACTAAATGTAATGGAAAATCCAGTGTTTTTGAGCTGTCAAGAGGAATACAGGGGAACCTTCCAATGGGGACAACTGTCTAAGGAAGGACATTCCCCTGTTTTGGAGAGATTTCCATTGACTTCCTCCTATATCTTAGGGAAAAGAAGTGAAAGGAAATCTCTCTGACAGGACACAGACACAGAAACCTAACACGGGTCTTAACTCTTCTCCATTCTATCCAAAAGTTAATAAAAAGTTTTGCCTTTGCATACACTGTAACCTTTATTTACTAGTAGGAGTGTTGTGCTTTCCCTGTCTAATAACAAGGATATAAAGGGAATAACTCAGATTCTGTTTAAAAATGGGGCTTAATAAATTAGTTTGTCCTGGAATATAAACAAGTAAGGTTCCCACTAACCTGTGGAGGACACAGTGTCCATCTCACTATTCGCTTTATGAAAATCCTATCTATCTTCTTGCTTCGGGCTGCTCAGGAAGGTAATTTTGAGAAAACCTTGGGGTGTGGGGAATTGCAAGGTTCCACTTACAGTGGTTAGCAGACACCTTCAGGCTCCAGGAATGGATTTTCAGCCCTGCATTTAGGCTTTCAGAGGTTCCAGGATGCTCTACTTGGCAGTGAATACAGGGTGCCTGCAGAGATGTTTGAAAACCAGTGTCACTTCACAGGCACTTTACAATTTATTTTTCACTCCACAGAAACACTTTTATATCTACTAATTTACAATTTAGACCATTCTCTTGAAAGTCAATCTCATGGTGGCTGTAATGCTGAATGAATTAGTACAGTACAGTTTTTCATTCACATAGCAGCTACAGGACTATGTAGGGCTCTACGATTAAGCTCCACTTGGAGGTGAAACGCATCAGTGGAAGGAGTAGGTTGGAGTGTCAGCTTTTATTCTGGAACATTAAAGTTACTTTTAGCTTGATGAAGAACATAATGCAGCATGGTATGTGCTATGTGAGCCTGGAGGTGGGTGACTGATCCCAGAGGCACCTGCAGCTGTGACTGGATGGAGGGCCTTGAGCAGTATACAAACTGTAAGTGAACTGTTTCCCATTACTGAAAAGGCCATTTATAGGGACAAAACATTTTAAGACAAATCTTCAAAACCTGACACTATCCCACTGCATTAGGGCAGATGGCAATATTGCTGCAAGAAGCCATATCTATTAGCAATGCTTCATGTTAGAGCAGACTGAAGTAAAATGCAATGTCTGCATAGATAGTCGTCCCCCCCCCCCCCCCACCTTGAC